GCCAGGTTGGCACAATAAACTAACTACCTCACCATGTGACAGAGCAGAGCCGCCCCACAGCGTTTCCTCCACTGGCATCTCGTCAGGAACAGGTGGCCTGCTCTCTTCTTCCATGTAACCTCTGGGTGCACTCCAACTGCCAACAGCAACCAAGCAGCCACATGCTTAGCCATTGTGCCACCTGGGCTACTGTGAATCAGCTGGGGCCCCGATGGCAGCGGGTCTTTGATTCTGAGATATGGACGCCCAGGGAGAACAGAGAGACGAAAAGAAGCAGATTTCTGCTGGCATGTGCACCCGTGGCAGGGCGCAATAACTAATGACAACCCCACTCCCCGTCCCCAGCACCGGGGCCCCGCCTCTGCCCCTTCTATGTGGGTTAAGGTCATGGTTAGGGCTAGAAGAACTGAGGGGGAAGAAGTAGTAGATTGTCGTGCAGAAGGACATGGGCAGGCGAGAACACACACACACACACACAGATTCATCGGGGGCTGGGTTTCCTTTAGCTCTTCTCTCTTTCACATTAGAGACGAGAGATTTGGGAGAAGCTTTCAAATACACAGGAGCCCTGGGGGGGGCGGGTTGGTTACACGTCAGTCATTCTTCGAAACCACCAGCAGCTCCTTGGGGGGGAAACGAGGGTGGTTACTGCCGTCAAGAGTTACAGTCTCAGAAGCTGCAGGAGCCGTCCTCCCGTCCCCTGTCTGCTCAGAGTCGGCACCAACGGGAAGGCAGAGGCGGAGGGTCTGAGCCCATGCTACATGGACCTTGGGGACAACGGAGGGCATGACGGCTCTGGGGAGTTGTGCCGAGTGTCGCCGACCCTCCGTGAAAGCTCTTGACCCGTCCACGGCTGGTAGGGTCGGTTTGTCCTTCTTTGGGATGAGTCATGATGCTGAAGAGCCTCAGATGCAAGCAGGTGGCTCGGCTCTATCCAGGTCACAGCCCACATGTCCCAGGTAAAGAGCTTTGCTTGTAAATGTCTTCATTGATCCTCTGGAGCCCGGATCTAGACGATCCAAAGAGTCCCCTTTGAAAGCCCTCCAGGTGGAACCTCAGAGGAGAGGAGACCCTGAATGGCCTGCGGTGAGGGCTGAATTCCCCACGCATCCGGGACTTTTCCAAGGGTTTCCTGGCATCTAAAGTCCCGGAGTGACTCGGACAGTTAATGTCATCAGTTGTTAACTGAGAGGCTGCCTGTTCAAGTCCCCCCAGAGGCACTTGGGCAGACGGTGGCTGGGGACCTCCTTCGAGAAGAACAGCCAGTGAAGAGGCTGTGTCGCACAGTTCTCTGACACGCACCAGGGCTGCAGGGGTTGGAATGGACTGGCTCGGGTTCTGCGAAGGTGACATTCCACAGAGAGCAGAGGCACTGGTCACAAAAACAGGAAGCCTTTGACGTGTCCCCATCCCTGCCTCCACAGACACCAGGGCGGCGTGGGTGCAGGGGGGTCGGGACTCACATGGGAATGGTGCAGAAGGACGGAGGACCACCTGCCAGCGGCTCTGCTGTCCCGGTGAGCCTCTGTGGACACACGGGGTTCTGGTTCCCTAGTCTCATCCCGCAGCCGGGATGTGCCCCGATGACCCAGGCCATCAGCGAACAGGATGCCTCCCCTCATGACATACATGTTATAACACACACACCCCCACACACACACCCCTGCCACTCTCTGCACCCCCTCCCAAAGTTGCCTTCACGCCCCGCCCCCACCAGCCATCAAACCAACCTTTGGTTGCCACTTCTCTCTTGCTCTGGCTCCCCCCACCCACGCTGGCACCTGCCTGGCAGCTCCCCGCCCACCCCCTCAGTCCTGCAGGAGGCCAGGGCCCCGGGGGCCGGGCAGGGCACACGGGGAACAGGTTGATGCTGTTCTCCCGGAAGTGTTGCAGGATGGGGGTGGGGTCACTGGGCAGGCGGGGTCCTTGGGAGCTCTACCCTTGCCCTGGCCAAGGATAAAGCAGCCTGTCCTGACCTGGGACAGTCACTCTCCGCCTCCTGACGTCCCGGACACCGCGGTGGGACAAGACC